TGCTGGCCACAGTAGTAGTGATGGGAAGGTCTTCTATGACCGCCTAATCCTAACTATTGGCTTTAAAATCTAAGCCTAAGGCGGAGGACAAGAAACTCCTTGGCGCGTGAGCAGTTTTCATCTTCCCCATCGAAGTTCTTGCCCTATCCTAGGTTTGATCCCAGAAGCTTCCTTCGTATCTTGCGATAGCGCCCTTTCTACAAATTGCAAATGTAACAATTTCTGCAATCCGACCCAGCATGGACTTTGGAAAGTATGCCATAACGCGCAAGAAAACTTTTCTATGTAACACTTTGTGTTGCGGCACGGATTTCGTGGCCTTTCCTACATACATTTGCATGAGTATGCTGGCCTAAGATCTGCCTTTGGTTTAACTAACACTCCATAAATCACTGCTACGTAATAAGCATGGTCCTAGCAGATCTTGTGAGCTGGGTGCAGCATCGTCATCTCATGGATCGCGTTCCTCACAGGCGATGCGGGCTTTTTCATGCTGCAGCGAGATAGGCCAATGTCAGACTTTGCGAATCGAGCGATTCGCTGGCCGCGACGCGACCGTGGACGCTAGCAAATCGCTAATAGCGAATTCCTCGATTCGCATAGCCTCACATCGGTCATAAGGAGAACACTAATCAGTGAGCCATGATGCGGTTATTGTTGTCGTAGGAGGAATACACCCTCAAAAATGCTCATTTTGCTCGCTGCAGATCCCAATCATATTTACACGACACAAATTTAGACGATTTCCAATGATGACTCCTGATGGGGGCATATTGAGGCACATAAGTGGTATTACAATAGATATAATATCGCTGTAGTGATCAAATTCGCAATTAAAAAGACTCACCACTTTTGTTATCTTTCAAAAATTTCGTGATGAAAGCGAAAAACTTTTTGTTGGCTGGTAGAAACACGTCCTTGCCTAAGGCTTCCTGCAATAGAACTTGCGCTTCGTGTTGCGTGCCAAGAGTAAAATCAAACAGCCCTACCGAACCAAATAATCAACGAGAATTTTAGTAGTATTAAAATCACCGCTTCGCCATCATCTTCATATCCCACGACAACTCTGAAGAATGGTCGAACTTCTTCCAAATAGTCCTTGTATTGACTGGCGATGGAGTCCACAAGTGCCTCCTCCAAGCATTCTTACCGGCAAATCCTGAACATCAATTACAATGGGGGACAGTGAAAGGGCAGATTTCACAATAAAAGGTAGCTTATCGGAAGTAAGGGTAGAGGCAGTCAGGGGATGATGGAGAAACCAAAAAACGGCCTAGACCTCAAGAATCGGACCCCTTCCTTGCCCGTTAACTTTGCATTGATGTGACTGTCATCAGCCCTCTTCAACGCTAACGCTCTCGCTGTTACAATATGTCGGTGGGTGTTCCAGGCCAATTGCACCATAGTGAAGGCCATGCCAAATTGCCAGAGACATAGCCCGATTTGAATTGCGTGTTGGTCTGCGTCCCTAGGGGTCAGACCTGTTCCATCCTTCACTAGTAGTTTCCAATTCTTCGCCTGCGAATCCTTAGCGTGGAATTCTCTTAAGAGGTCTGTTTAAGGTCAAACTGCTTGTTGAAGGCAGCAGTCTGAGAGAACTGTACAGAACCACCGCGTGCTGCCAAATTGGAATAGGCAGTGCTTACGGCACAATTAGTGAAAAAATGGATCAATTGCATAGTATCCAGAGGGCGGAAGTGGTGTAGTGACAAGTGGCGCGCTTCACCACGCGAGCGGTCCGGGATCAAATCCTGGGTCGTGAGTCGCCCCGGCCAACCAAGCCTTCCATCCCTCCGGGGTCGGTTAATTGGTACCAGACTTGTCTGGGAGGATAAAAACACTGACTTGAACATCGGCTGGCCCCCGCAAGTCATTGTATAGGCCACACATTCAAATGCCACTGCGAATGTACAAATGGAAGTAGAATGCGTGCCGCATCCCAAAAAGGGATTGATCAACGGCAAATGCTTTATCCTTTATCCTTTATTCCCTCCTCCCTATTTTCGTACAGCAGAATGAAGACTGTAGAAGGACATGACTGCCAAGGAGGTGCTAATACGAGCGCTTGCATTTTGCGTATAATCAGTGGCAGATGTTACGATAAATTGATCAAAGTTGAAGAAAAAACTAACTGGGGAACGCATTCCATTCGATTCCCACAGTTTTTTGTATTGAGACCTAGATGTGTCGATTGAGCTTCGACGCTAATTACAAATGTGGAAACAAAAACTACAGTAAAATGATCTGGCCAAGCAGTTTCGAGTCACTCAAGTCGCCTGGCGTGAAGCGTTATGTAGGCGCCGTGCTAGCGTCCGGGCATTCAGAGTCCTCGTTGAGTAGCGCTGATGATCACAAAGTTTGCCCTCCAACAGGAGGAAACTTCATGAGTTGCCGACTGAAGAGCAAGAACACTACCACCCCTCCACAGCGACTCTGAATGCTCGGACGCTAACAACGACTCGTATAAAGGCTTTATTTAGTCGACTTTGTCTGCTTGCAGCTGCCTCATTGTGCAGTTCTTCTTTCTATATTTGTAATCAGCGTTTCAAACTCATCGGTGTCCCTAAGTCTTGATTATGACCCCATTCCATGAAATTGTGAATTGGCCTAATACCGCTGGAACGAACCCCATTTTTCCACCAAGCCACGTTCGTGTTGGGCGAGCTCATTGTTGCCACGTCATGCAGCATAAGCATTCTCAGCAAGTGGGTGGCCACGACCGGGTGTCCCCCAAGAGGCCCATCGCGCGGCGAAGGAAGAGACGCAGATGCGGCAAAGGACGAGTCGCAGCGCGTGCTGTGCGATATGAGACGTAGTATGGTACACTCTATTTAACCTGACGCCTAACCGCTACAGTATGCGCTGCGACTCGTCCTTTGCCGTCTGCGTCTCTTCCTTCGCCGCGCGACGGGCCTTTGGGGGACACCCGCCAGTGAATGGGCGTGTACAGTCGCCAACTGGTCGAACCGAGACGCCCTCCTGGCAGCTGTGAGCGCAACTTTTGAAGCAAAACAGGCTCATTCTCTCCATTAGGGAGCATGGCTCCCTTATAGGTAGTATTTTTATCTACTTCGATTTCCAGTTTTTTTCTTCAAGCTTTGCGCTGTCAGCTGATTTTCCCACTGATGTCAATTTTTAACGATGCTAAAATAGTTGCAGTTTGTTCTTCGCGTATCCAGTCCCCGTCTCCTCCCTATGTGCGTAAATGGCCGCATAAGCAGGAATAAAACACGGAAATGTAGGGAAAAACTTCATTTCCGTATCCGACTCAGGCTTGGAGGCATGAGCACACTGGCTGGAGGGTGGAGCCAAAACTAGAAACAAGCAATACTAAAGTCGATGTTAGACTGCGAATCGAGCTAATTAATTTTTAATTCGCTGCATTCATATGCCTTTAGATGGGTTACGATGAGGGTCAACCGCTCGTTCGCAATATTTGAACGAGAGGGTCGCATTTGTGATTCCAAGGAAAGGGAGGGGTCGCATTCTGTGGTTGTGAAAAGTTAATACGTGGGGGAAAAGTGAAAATGAGAGGTTACCAAATTTTCGGGGTATTTGGTGGAAGTTGTCCGACACGCAAATTAGACAAAATCGGAAGATTCAACATTTCATTTTACTAAGTTACTATTATATTAGTTCACCCCGGCGACCGTTCTGGTTGGAGAAAAAAGTGGGCGGAGTTGGGCTGTGTCAAGTTCTTAAGAACAACTATTAGGTTGTAAGGAAAGTTCTGGCCGTTTTCGACAGTACAAGTTTCATGGACATTATTTCTAGCAAACTTTCCGGCAGACTGCTACGAGTTGCATATCATTAGAAAGTGCGTTTCTTGCTCTATCCAAATCCGCGGTAAGCTTTGCTCAAGAGGGACTGGTCCCACTTTTTGAAAGCCTTGAATGCAGCATGCTCACCAAGCGAATCCTCACGATTTTCTTCTTCTACCTCGAATTAGGGCAGAAAGAAGCGGAATCAGCTTATGATATAAATTATTCGTTTGGCCATGCATTTGCAAAAAATAAGCCATGAAGTTATAGTTTGGAAGCTTGTGTAGGGATGGCGATAGCCTCGAAATTGGCGATAGTGATCGCTGGATTTCGAACTTCGGTAAAAATTACGTGAAACATTTGATGGGATCAAATGTGCTTCAAACAATTAAGAAGACCGCTACCAAATTGGGCGCATTCAATTTATGGTTTCAAGTTACATGGGATAGCTTAAGAAGCACGGGAACGTCGATAAGGAGGGTGTTGCGAAAAATCGCGGTTCCGTGGGACCATCTGCCTTTCTTCTGCAATCTTTCCTCCAACGAAAACGACCCGTTTTTTGTCCGGATCGTGACTCCCCTTGTAGAATGGAGTCTTCTCAATAACCCATGAACTTCGGATGAGTTGTTCGGTCATGACTATGGTCAACAAAATTTCGCAAAGGTGAAACTGAGCATGTTGCATTTAATGTTTCGAATAAGTGGGAGTAGTCCCTCTAAAGCAAAGCTTGCAGTGCGATTAGATAGAGCAAGAAACGTGCTTCCTAACGATATGTAACACGTAGCAGTCCGTCGAAACCCTAGCCAGAAATAATGCCATGGAGCTTGAATTATCGAAAACGGCCAGAACTTTCCTTACGACCTAATACGCAGAAACAGTACTGATCGCCAAGTATGGTCGCGCAGAAGGGCGGAAAAGGGATCCGTACTGCGGAGGAGCCTCACGAGCCTCTGCGACAATCGCAAAAATTATTGCAAAACGGCGAACTGCGTTTGGTTGACCCTGGTTACACGTCCGATTTATACTCATGAACCTGTCACCCCCAAGACACCTTTTTCTGACCATGGCAGACCAAAACTTTCTTACCAAAATAGCTGCTGGCCAAAATAGGCCGAGCGACTAGCGTGTGCCCGAGCCCAGTTGTTTCGCCCGTGTCCACCTCAAGCACCTGCGAACGTGCCGAACGGCGGTGTCTAGAAATTAATTCAGCGTTTATAGCCCAAACCTCTTCCGTACACACTACAAACTGCAGTGCCACCTAACATCCTCGTACTCTTCTTTGTACTTGGGCCACTCCTCGAAAGTTATTCGCTTATCTTCAAAGTCTTTACCGGCAACGACGAACAACTGTAAAAGCACTATTGAGATTCGGAAATGAAGTGGTAGGTAGAATTTTCGAGAAATCCTAAACAAATGACTATAAAGATTACCCACCTGACGAATAATTTCAGCAAGACCGCGTCCTGGTATGTACAGCAATTTGTATTGAACCATTCTGAAATATGTACAAAATCATCATCAAATTATTTCACAACTTCGAGTTCTCAAATTCCCCCGCAAATCGTTCAAGCACAACAGCGACGGATGCGGAAAGCGCACGATCTAGAGAATCATACGTTTCTCTCTCGATTCCTCAATTAGGCCTCTGTCCTACCTGAAACCACTCGCAACACAATCCCATTGAGAAGACCATATGTAGGAAAAGTCGGAGAGAGTACGTTCCAGCATTTTTCTGAAGAACCCACCCTCGAAACTACCACTTCCTGGCTCCTCTTGTACAGCTTAATTGTAAAGAACAACATTCCTCACAGTCAGTCCGATGCCCTCAGTGGGTAACCTCCCGGTCATTATCCATAAGGCTCATCCTTCGAGAAGTTTGTCCTCTATTTGGAGTCAACACCGACAACTCCCAGGAGCTCGACACTTCTACATTCCATACCCAGTCTTCCTTTTGCTAAGATTCCCTATTTTACGCAGTGTGGACGAATTAGCGTTATTTGCCTTTTGCTAAAACAGGAACTTGAACATGGATAATAATTCCAACATTTTGATATGGGCTAAAAAAGCAATAGCGACGGAAGAACGGATTCTTTACGAAAAATAAGAATCAAAAATGTTGCTTTTCCAACTGGTTTCCGTGTTAATTCATATTCCGTTTAATATTGTCATAAATTCTCTGAAGTCCTTTTCCAAAACCCATCCCCAGGTTCAAGTGTAACGTTTTCCACGGCAAGCCGGAAATACAAAGCCGCACTGACACTCAGTGATTCCATCATCACTTTTATATTATATAAGTCTGACTTCAAAACCTCAAAGCTTTTGCCCCACAATGTGACCTCTTTAAAGCAACAGTCCCAGCAGGGTGGGCGTGGTCGGAAACCGCTGCAATCCCCTCGGCCGATTCCCACTTCGATAGCTGTTCAGCCCCTAGTCAAGAACGTAGAGAACTGTGACTGAACAAAAACTCACCTTGGAAAGCCGCTAGGCAGGGAGCTGAAGTGGGGAGTGTCTCAAAGCGAGGAAGAGGGATTGAGCTAGTCGTTTTCCGACCAACGCCCATCCTAGCTGTGTTCACTGAGTTGCTATAACATAATTGAGATCAGCAGTTATCGTATTCCATTGGCTTCACCAAAAGGAAGTAAATAGGAATATCACCTCTCACTGACACATATTTTTACCACTGGCTTGTTTTACTTCACCTAGACTATCTGTTTTCATTTTATCCTTACAACGAATACCATTCAGCATATCGTTATAAAAAAGCGTATGACGAGTACACCACTCGCGAGTTTAGTTTATACAATGCGGCGGAATATTCACAGCTCAGAGGAGTTAACGTCAGGAATTACACAAAAGAAAAAATATCAGCAACAGAAAAGCAAAAATAACGATAATCGAGAGTTTTAGGAAGGTGAAAACCGGGTAGGAAGATGCCTTGATTTGATCCAGGCAAGGGTGGGCAATTTGTGCAAAGAGCTCAACCGCTATTAAATGTCTTTGAGCTATGACAAACATGCATTTTTAATCCACAGATATGTAGGGACCACCTAGTTCCTTTTTTGCGTCAATGAGATGGTTTACCCACCCTATGACTTCCCGAACTCACAGAATCTGTATTTGGCACTGCAAAACATTTCCCCTCTTAGAGTATAGAAAGTGTTTCTATAGTATAGTGTTTCATAGTATAGAAGAAACGAAGCGATCAACGAGCAGCGCCACTCAAAATCTTGTTCAACCACATGGTGAATAACCATTACTGTGAGCACGACCTTCGACGTGCCGATCTATGGTCAATGACAATTGACGCGCTTACTAAGCAAACCTCATACATTGCTCAAGGACCATTGCCAAGTGACATATTCGGCATCAAACCGTAGACAAGAGTGAACGATTTGGGGTGCATTTGTTATTCAATTCAATAGCCAGGAATTTATTGTAATTCGTAACTAACACGTTTTTCTTCATACATTTAGTCATGGTCAAAAAATAGGTAACTTAAATTTTGAACTTGGTCCAGAAAGTAGAATAGAAAATTCTTGTAACCTTTCACACATGAAGTTTTGTGAAAAAACACCGTTCCCGTCGCTGCTTTCCGAACGATGTGCGCTGAAGACGGCGCGCGAAAATTCGCATGTGTATCCAATATATTGGGTTGAGAAAAAAAATCTGAATAGAATTTCATCCCTTGTCCATGGCTTCGCTAAGTGAAGGGTATGTGGTAGACTTTTCCGAAAAGATCGGCTATTTTCGGCTTACGACCGCTTAACAACGTGCGGGTGAGCGTTACTGTGAAGAAGGCGAACATTGTTGCTCTCTGGGCGTTTAATCGAATAGTGCCAGCGAACTTTCGTAGATGACAAGGTCAGTTGGTCATTCCGCCATTCGAATGGGATATACAGGGGTGGCCAAAAAAAGAGACACTTAGCCCATGGCGCACATCATCGAACTTTTCGTCGCACAGGGAGCCGATGTTAATGAAAGTTTTACGGCAAATATTCCTTAGTGTTCCCCGTAAACAGAAGCAGGCCCTCCTTCACTGCCCCCGCCGTCTTCAGAATATGACGTCATCTGCCGTCACCGTCGAGCTCAACGAGGCTTACCGTAATCGCTCCGGCCTGAAGCTGCTACATAATTTCTTCAATGGATTAACTGTTGAATAGCTTCCAGAGACATTAGCTGTGACTATGCAAAACCGCTTTTGACCAGCGTTTCAGGGACGTCGTAATGGTCTATGGTACCTCGACGACCTCGTTGAGCTCGTACCGTGAACATGTTTCCGTGGGAAAATCTTCTGATGTCGTCGGTGTAGAAGGCTGTTGTGTAGCTTGTTGATAGATTATAACGTGCTCTTTAATATTCAGTTGGGTCATTTGGTTTGGTTTCGCAACGCGTAAATAATTCCGTTTTGAATGTGGAGTGAAGTGTCTCTTTTTTTGGCCACCCCTGTATGTATGTACACCTGCCAAACTGGTCACCGGCAACCACCAGGACCTCCTTTCCCTGTTTAAACAACACGTCTACCGCTTCCCTTCCATTCACGTACTCTCAGTATATTTAGCGGCTCAACTACCCATGCCTCATCACTTCAGTTTGCGGAGGGACAGACCGACAAACTGACACGCCAAATTAGCCTAAGTCTATAAAGAGTCCTGTTCTGTCGTTTTCGACCCTGAACTTCATATTTCTCCCGGCACAAACAAAATATTTTGTATCGAAGTGGAAACCGCTGGAATCCACAAACCTCTCGCAATAACGTGCTGTTCGAGTTAGTCCAGTGGCTTAGAATGTTGGAGCTCCGGAGGTGATTTCGGTGGAGGTCGTTTTAGCATTTGGATTTCAGAGGATTTCTATAAGGGAGCAATCGAGGTCCTCGAATAAGTGACGCTCAATAGGCAAAAGGTATATTGAGTAAGAAGTTCGCAGCATCATTCCGTAGCCCAGCCGGTTCAACTTGTGCAGAGTTATTTGTAGAAACGACGTGCGCCTAGGGTACATGTGAGGAATTTGTCGGCTACTTGTTGATGATGATAACCGGGCTCACGATTTTGTGATTTCGGGGTATTTTTGAGGTATTGTTAAAAGTGACTTCCCACTGTAACAGTTCCACCTGGCTTCGTAAATTTAGGCCTTATCAGCCGCTGACTTTATCAAAGTTACCATGACCTTCCTTCACTAGAAATCGGGGGCAACACTCAAAATTGGTGATTTGTCGCAGCAGCATATATTCAAATTTTCAGACCCAGGCCCTTCCTACATGACTTGGAAGTACAAACCAACTACAGTAACTTTTATAAATAAAAACGCATTCCCTGCAGTACTATAATCGAACTTCATTAATATTCACGAGAAAAATCCCTGCTGATATCGTAATTAGCACGCTCAAAAGATCTTGTCAGATAGCTCCTGTGCAAACAATCAGATAAGAGTCATTCTAAAGCAGTTGGCTTCATATAAGTCTTTCATAATTATACATACACTTCAAAATCTTAGACCAAACTGGGTAATTAGTAAGGAAAGACAGGACCCCGTAAAAGCAATACCATTGTAATGTGTCTCGCATTGCTAAATGCCATGATGTACAAGCTATCTGAGATGAAGAAAACACGGATTCCCGCCCTCGCACACGGAAGGTCTGAGCAAGCGTAGAATTGTTCCAAAAAGGCACCGTTTCATGAGTCGCCGACAGATCTTCACGTGGGTCGGAGTCATATGGCCGCAAGAAGAGATCCGGTAGGTCAAGAAAGTGATTCTGCAGGAAGAGCGTACATTGGACTGGACGAATTGTCTCAAATTATTCGATCTGCCTGAACAGAGTTTGAGCAACCTGCATTGAAACTTTCCGAAACAGCGGTTCGGAGGATGGCCAACAGCAACATATACACTGTGCGTCCCTGTCCAACATCCCGCCGTTGCTGCAATTCTCACAAAGATGCTAGGCTCCAAATTCCTACGACGGTCTGACATTTTACCGAAAAAGATTAGACGGCAGAATAAGATTGGTGTCTTCAGTACATAGTAAACTTCATGCCACACTCGATGCTACACGACTTAACTTCAGTACCGCTCGCTTGCTGCAGTTTATGTTAGTTGGCATTATCAGCCATTGCCCAGAGTGGAGGGAACAGGGTTTTGTTCGCCGTGCAGAATTGGTCTGCTGCAAGGTTATCAATTATTTGTTCTATCGCGGAAATTGACTCTATCTATAATTCGTCAAAGTGCAATTTTTTTGAGGTTCGAATCAGTATAGAGTACAAAGTCAGCGAATTCCTTCCCACTCTTGGCGAACTAAGTAGGCATTGAACCGCTGCACACAGTAAGTTCCTCCAGTTGTTTTTATAAACTATACAAAATCTTCTTTGAGCCTTGCTGCTATCTTGCTTGCTAAGAAATATCTTTGTTTTGTACAAGAGTTCGCCTAAATTGTAACTAAAAAATTAAAACTGTAATTGAACTCATTTCCTCATCTTCCCTGCCATTAAAACCTCACAGTTTGGTTTAGTTCTGAGTAATAAAGCTCTTTTTCGGCATCCGCCGAAATCTCCATTCGCCTGGCATAGATCACGGCTGCGCTGAGCTCACTTCCACAGACAAGATCATCCCCTTATGGAGTAGATGCTCATGTACAAAGTGGCCGCACTAGTTAGTAGAGTAAGGTGTTATACGATCACTGCATCGCTTCAGATTCATAGCTCAAAGTTGGGTCCCTGATTCCCTGCTAGTGGTGACTTTCCCCTTCTACTCCCACCACCCCAATGTGCGGCACCTTGCGGAAGTGGTTTGTACTTGATCAGCGTCATCATGCAGTCAATGAACGCTCAAGCAAAATAGCGCCCAGCGGTACCTGTGTTTCAATTTTTGAGGTACTAGTAGGTAGTTACTATTTTCAAGGTACTGTGCCTCGATTCACGAATAAATTACTATTTCTCCTAGTAATGATGACTTTTTCGGGAAAAATGCCGAGTTGTGAGCTAAACCTGGCCTCGAGGGAAAGTAAATGGTTGAGTTTGTTGCAGGATGGTTCACTACAAGCTGACATATTTACCATTCCGTGGTCTTGCTGAGATTAGCCGGCAGGTGGGTGAACTGGGCTAATACACCCCTGTATCGGATTTTTTGAACGCTTCAATTCAAGGTCTACGGTAACAGTTGAAGGAGGCTCTTACTGGAGTTTTTCATAATGAGTCTTTAGAAAGAGCCATTTAAGAAAATTCAGAGGCCTGAACCAAATTAAAGATGAACGCACCATTAGTTTACTGAAACAAATTGACAAATGTTCCAGATATTTGTCGTCGCAGGGAAGGACTTCGAAGATGTCCGGTACAGTTTTGAGGAATTCGCGAAACATAAAGACGGTAAATGCCAATGATCTATAGAATTTTTAGAACTATGCTCTGATGATCATTTAGAAATGCCGTTCGGTCAAGTGCCAGTGCTGGAAGTCGATGGAAAGCAGCTTGCCCAATCCCACTCGATCGCTCGCTATCTGGCTAAACAGTTTGGTAGGTTGCTTGCATGTGGCCTCTAGAAAGTGTGTTGAGTACGGGCACTGCTATCGCAATCATAAGCTTCTCATCTTGGGAGGGTGCATTCACTTGAGAAGTCGTCCCCCCCCCCCCCTCCTCCCCCAGCCACTATGCAATGCATAATCAGTCAAAGTATGATATTTGTTGGAATGTCACTGGCTATCGAGGTCAACACGTCCAAACGATCTCATTTGGTTGCTAACTCGTTCATGTCTGAACAGTGGGCATACAGGGACCCACTTCGGGGGTTTCCAGGCTCTTCATTTGTTTTTTTCACCAGTCCACCTTTTATCACCTCTATTCTATTTTCAGTGGTGGACAATTCATCGTGCCATCGTGCGTACGATACGCGTTTTACAGTAAAAACGCCAGAGCGCTCTACATACTAGTGGGGCCATGCCTGCTCGCCTACCCCTTCGCCAACTGACTCTGACCGTGAAGCATAGAAATCGTTGGCGTTGAAGAGGGCGGCACGGATGAGAGTCGCATCAATGAAGAAATCAAAAAGCAACGAAGAGGTCCCATTTCTTGGGTTCGGGGCCGCTCCTCATATTTTCTTCTTCCCTGCACCGCTGACCACCTCCTCCTTGATTTCTAATGATTTCTGATTTCTCTGCCTTTGAGGTTATGCCGGCAAGAACGCATGGGATGAGGCGCTTGTCAACTCAATTGCTGATCAGCAGAAAGACCTTCTCTTTGAAATTCGTCCATACTTCAGGGTTTTGCTCGGTTTCGACAAAGGTGATTTGGTGAGCCAATCGACTTTTTTTCCTATGACTACATACTATATTCTCACTTTGGTTGCTTGTTCAGTGGTTTATAATACTTACTCATGAATTCCATTCTAGAACGCTCTGGGTAAAGACCTTTTCGTGCCAAGCCACCACAAATTCTTCACTTTCATAACAAAAATTCTCAAAAACAACAAAACTGGTGAGTCTCAGAGTACTATTCATTGTAGTTTCCTCATAATGCCACCTTCTCCAAATAAGGAATCTGCTCAATTTTGGAATTCTTCAAATATATCTCATATCTCTGTCGTTCTTATTCCGACATTGAACATTTTTAATTAGCCATTTTTCAGCGGTGGCTGTCCTTTGACTTGCACAATTTGTTTTTCATTTATTTTTCCCCTTTCACTAGCTTCACATGTTTCTCTGACAGATAAACGATAACTGAAATTATCATATTATTTTTCTGCAGTCATCGGAGAAAACAGCGTATAAGAGGTTTGGAAAGATCGCGGTCAAGTTTGTGGGTTTGCTGCTGTAGGCCGATGTCATAGTTTGCGAATCGAGCGATTCGCTAGCGAATCGCTGGATCCGAGCGTTGCGCCAGCGAATCGAACGTTGCACCAGCGAATCGAACTTTGCGCCAGCGAGTCGAACGATGTACCAGCGAGTCGAACTAGGTACCAGCGACTCAATAGTGGCGGGACCCAACGTTCAAAGGAAGCCCGCCACTTTCAAACAGTGTCACGTGACAGTGGACGCTGTTTGAAAGTGGCGGGACTTGACAGTGGACACTGTTTGAAAGTGGCGGGCTTCCTTTAAACGTTGGGTCCCGCCACTATTGAGTCGCTGGTACCTAGTTCGACTCGCTGGTACATCGTTCGACTCGCTGGCGCAAAGTTCGATTCGCTGGTGCAACGTTCGATTCGCTGGCGCAACGCTCGGATCCAGCGATTCGCTCGATTCGCAAACTATGACATCGGCCGTATGGTGGCAAGTGGTTGACGAGTTATCTGGGTAGAGCTAATTTCCGAACGAATTTCATTAAAAGCTTCGATTCTGACTAAATAACTGATGGCTGAGGATTCTCTTGAGAGGTTTCGGAGTGAAACGCAACGTAGTAGAATATTAAAATGAATGGCGAGGATCCTTCTTATTTTATGAACCGCTAACTTGGTGTGTCGGTTTGTACCCTCCCCTTCAGTGTGAAGGGGAAAGTGAAAAGAAGAAGTGTCGGGTGCAGACCAAACACCACAACTGACGACGGCCTTCAGGAAATGCGAATGATAATGAAATATTTTCGATAATGAATGATTAACCTGTTGCAGTTGTATTCTATCAGTTGTCACTAATTACAACTATCATTTACCAAAAATCAGCTATCACTATGAACCACTACTAACCAGATTTACTTGGAGGCCGTCGTCACTTGTGGTGTATGGTCTGCACACACTTCTGGCTTTTTGAGGGGGAGAGTATGTCAGGATGTGTGTATGTAGTATGTCTGTCCGTCCGTCCGCAAAATGAAGTGAGTGATAAGGAAGCTAATGGAATAAACAAACCGCTAACAAATCGGGTAGCTCGCAGGATTTGAGCTATCAATGTTTTGCAATGGATAGTTGTGATAACACTCCAACGGCTATATAAACACCTACTTAGCACACTTTCGGTCATTCCACAAGGTGCTGCAGTGGCAGCTGGAGAGCAGTGGGGGAGGAGGGGAGGATAAGGTGAGGAGGAGGAACGCCAAGCTTCAAAGACGCGGGAGGTTCGGGCGGTTTGCGGAGGACCAATCTGGTCCGCTATGAAACAAATGACACATATCCGAAAGGGCGTGCATAGATAAGCCATACATGAGAATACCCGGACAAGCAAGTTTTCTGATTGAGGAACATTCAGGCTACCTTGTTGGAGACTCGCTGACCTGGGTTGATCTGCTTGTGGCTGAAATGGCCACATGGACGAAAAAGTTCCCAACTCTTTACGACGGCTTCCCTGAGGTGATTTTTATCATTTTCAAATTGCCAGCCTTTGGCTACAGAAGAAAATGGAGGTGAAGACACATTTTCGAGACGTGATTCGTAGTTAAGCATTGCAGGTAAAAGCCCATGCAGAAAAGATCCGCTCGATTCCTGCACTGAAGAAATGGATCGAAACTCGTCCTGATACTGTTCTCTGAGTAATTGTATCCTTTTTTTCACTAGAAGCGTTTGGTATATCCGCTTCAGAGCATTGCTATATTAATTCACTTCTGTATGCACAGCTAGTTTAAACATGCTTGTATGTTGAGAACTAGATTCTAGTCGAGTCTTTAATAGCTTATACAGAGTTGCAGTGGATGTGACCAAATTTTCTTATGCGACCGGGAACTCAAAGTGATCAGGTTGTTGCCACAGTCATTCAGTGAAAGGGAAGTTGAGAATGCATTTGCAGAGATAATACAAGTATCGCAGCTAAAAAAATGCGGTGAGGCAGCTACATAGTATTGTATTATTATTCACCCTGTTCCGGTTATTGCATATGTATGCCACGCCCCGACACGGGAGATATCTGCGATCTCTCAATTGATATGCTTCCTCGCCGGCACTCTCTTCTCTGTGCGCTGTGTCTTTTCGTCGTGGCAATGTCTAAACGAAAGAGAACTCCTTCAGCTTCACTGTTATTGGTTTCCTTGTGCTTGCGAATAAAGGTAGGGTGTAAAGGGAATCACACAGGATTAAAGGGAAAAAAGCAGCTACTGCAATAAAGGCAATTCAGTTTATGAGGTGAACAATGCTACGACGAAAAAACACCAGGCGCTGAGAAGATAGAAGAGACAGGAGAGCGTAATGGACGACCAGGCATACACTACCCTTCATATGCAGTCTAACAAGGAAGTTACAGGAGCGTATCCGAGAGAGCAGTTCAACCAGGAAACAACAGGAGCGGTTACAGAATGAAGTTACGGAATCCCTTAGCGCATTTTTCGCGATCTCTCCATCTGCGAAACGTCCAGAGTAGGACTGAAGGTTGCTACTTACGCCCACACATTTACGGCAATTCAGGGCTTATCAGAATATCAAATTCCATATCATCAACTCAAATTACCAATTTTCAAAACGAATTTTACATGACAAATCCATGGAATTGCATAGAACTTGAGTGTAACGTTTTGAAAGCTAGCGCTCCCCGTTAGGGGGGGGAGGGTTGGGGACATTTCAAACATGATGTTCCAACTCGCTGGTAGTTGACACACTAGGATCAAGCGCAGCAGTGAAAATCGTCAGGGAGACAGAAATTGCTCTGTCCTTCAGTTTCCTTTCCCTCCCTAAGGTTCCAGCTTCTGTAAATGCCTCATTCAATTAAGTGTTCCCAACAAATGCACAAGATGTTTTTGTGCACAAGCTGTATACGACGAATATCAAAGTCCAACTTCTGCTTCTCCAAAGTTTACCCAGTTTTTTTTCCGACATCATCCGATGCCATCTCGGGACATTACGAACTGCTGGTGTTCTTTTGCAACCATACAAACTCCAAAGATTCCGCTGCCTTGTATATTACAGCTACGAAATAGTCGGAGAAAGATCACCCTACAACGCTTATCAGTATAACGATAGGGTCAGAAGAATGCACTCTAGGACCATAGGTGGCGAATTGTCTGCAATCGTTGCTGCTAAAAGTAATGCTAATGCTAATGCTGGTCAAGTGACAACTTAATGCATGCATTTCCAGGAGAATCGTGTTTGTTGGAGCGCTTAAGTGTGCGAATTCAAAAATAGGGGCCGTCTGTGTCTTTTTATTGTGTGGCATCGCAGTACGATGTGAGAGCAGTAATAAAGACAACTTGCCGTTCCACAACCTTTTCACTTATTTGGATTCTCTTCACAGTACCATATTTGGAATGTGGACGACATGTGCTGTGGTTTGGTTCACCACAGATGAGGCTCTGCAAAATGATCCAATGCATTTACTCGTGTATAGTTCCTAAGCTCTCCCAAGAACAAGGCAGCTAGATGAGCGATCCCAACCACCACCGTTTTGTGGTGCACTACCTGCCTTTAACCTAAGTTTCAACTTTGCCCTCAAACCTTCCTTTATCGTCTTACTTGGTCGTGTTCCTGGTCGGGATAACCTCTATCAAGTTACAGAGTCGTAAACTCGGCACCGTCAGCAATGGCAGAATCGCTGACAAAATGCTCGGTTCCTGATGACATACTCTAGTTTTCTCTCTAAGGTGAACCTTTAGATAAAGCAGGTGTATAAGAGTGCTTCACAGTGACAACTGGTCTGCGAAGTGGTCTGGAAAAGAAGGCAAGATAACTCATGGAGAGCGCATAAATTGAGACCTTGACCTTCAGTAAGGTCGAAAGTGGTACGATGGTGAAACAGGCCTTTCGAAGAGGCCAAGGCACGCGAGAGAAGCGTGCCGTTCGAGAGAGCGTGCCGATCTCTATATCAATCGCGGTGGGTGGTGAGCGCTGCAACGGGCCGACGGTTGCGGGACTATAATGATTAGCCCTTAATCGCAAGAAAGGTGGCATGATCTATGCAGGTACGGGCCCCACAATTTCCCCTCCCGGCATCCATCTCCTAGTCGAGCTAATTGCGGGGTTTGCCTTCAGTCGCCGTACCATTTAACACCATGATGAGTCATACGCCAAGGAATTTTGAGCAAATGCAACGCCTCCCTCAAATTCCTTATTAGTACATAGGACACCTCTCTCTCCGGCCCTCTTACTTCCTTCTACCGCTCGATTATTGATGGCGTCAATAGCGTTGTTGAACCCTCTTCATCTGACACACCGATCCCGCCACAAAGTGCGAAGCAGAAGTTTTTGAAAGTAGCAACATTATGAAAAGATAGCAATGTTCGCTATTCCCTATACTATCCCTGTCAGTACTGTCCCAATTCAACGATACCATCTCAGAAATACAACTACCACCTCTGCTTCCCTCCAGGACCTGTTCGAGAACTTCTCGACTATTGCTTAAAGGAGGATTCCACGATAAGAACGAAGGTCAAAGAAGGGGAAATTGCCTATTCGAGAGACAGACGGACCTCTGACGCACAATAGGCAGCCAAAGATTTGTCCTCAGCGATTTTGCATAGCTTACTCATGGCCAGTTGGCGCAGTACGCCCACAGAGATGGCAGAGAGAACGTCAGCGTTGAAAGAGACACGACCAGAACTGAATCAATGCGGAAATTCAACAGGCAAGGAAGGGTTTCCTTTCTCGGGTTCCGAGCCGTTCCTCATGCTTTTCCACTTCCTTATATCACTGACCTTTAATTTGAAATGGGTTGCCTTTCAAGCGTAAATTCCGCCTTCAACTGTTTAGCACCTCGACTTTCACCGTGATTACATCGGTTCAATATTTTTATCACATTAGCAACGTCTGAATTTGAACTGTACATACAATTTCATTAGGAAAACTAGCTGCGAGGTTTCCACTGCAACTTAATTTCGGGTAATAAGTGGCTAAGTGAGCCTGAATCTCTACGGTCGGGAACGGTGAAGCTGCTGAGATCATCGATCAGTGGGGAACCAAATACACTTCGGTGGGCTTTTCCATTAGCCAAATACTGCTATCATAAGTAGAAGAACTGTGGGTGCAGTGCACATGGCGGCTGTGTTCCATCGAGGTCTGCGCCATGGTGGTGTCGTCACAGGGTGTTCCAGGTCATATATTCGACAACAGTCCAAGCCACAGCAGTACTCCTCATAGCGTTTGCACCTAAATAACAACATCTTCGACTCTGTCCATCTGATGAAACGCCATCACCTTGATTCAAGCCACCGCTATAGCCATCCTGCCTGTTGACGATTACAAAAGAACATATTTCAAAAATTTCTCAGTCGTTCAGAGATAGCTGGTAGCTAATCTAGGGCTGGAAACAACCCATCCAATAGAGCAATTGTTTCACTCCAGCTTATTCACTAGCTGCAAACTTACTGGTAGATAATATCGTATATTGGTAAACCATCTTCATAAACAAGATTTCTTCGTTCTGTCTCGTTCATACGGTATGCACAAGTATCGCGAGCCACCCAGTAGTAGTCATTGTCCTAAAAAAAAGTTCAATCTATCAGAAGGGCTCGGCTACGGTCGAGAAATATTAGGTTGTCTCATAAATAGTGTCGCTTTTTTTCAACCAAAAATTTTCATCTAAATCCCATGCTTTTACATCGTTCATATACCATTCGAAAGAGAATTGTCTGCTCTACAAGATGCTATGTTCCTCTTCCACCTCTGTTCCAGGGTTTTCAAATTTTAGGCCTGCGAAATGGGAGGTCCAGCCGACAAAAATTGACCAAACCGACAACTAGCTCTAACTTTATTTTCCCTTGGAGAAATCAATCAATGATGTACCCTCTACTTACTCATGACCTCTTCTAAACATTCCACTCTTAGGTTGCCGAAAAAGCTTTGCCGTGTTTCTTTTCGAATTGGCTGACCGATAAGCCATAGCAATTTTCAAATTGAAATTGTTCCTCGTAAACGCCATTGTTTCATATCAAGTGGTGTTCCTTTTGTGAGCACTTCTTCTGCTCTATTCGCTCATTTGTTTTGTTTTTATGTTTGTTGGGAATTAGTTCGAATTTTAGGTGTTTAGGAATAAGGTGTTTTATCCACGAAAGTGACCGCATTTCTTTGAAAAAATTATCCCTGAGAAGATGAGAAAATCAACCAGGCGTACATTCCTAACTTAGTCATGACTTGTTCTTAAATTCTACTAGTTTTTCAATGTCTCGGCTATAAAAAAATTTCGACCTAGATCTCAGGTAATGGTGCTCGACCGTCGAGTTCTGGTTGAAAAACCAGGTCTGGAAATGGAACGACGCGACTTGTTGGGAAACCTAATAGTGTAATGTTAGAAGAGGTCATGCATAAGTAGAGGGTACATCATTGATTGATTTCCCAAGGGAAGATAAAGTTAGAGATAGTTGTCGGTTTGGTCAATTTTTGTCGGCTGGACCTCCCATTTCGCCTAAAATTTGAAAACCCTGGAACAGAGGTGGAAGAGGAACATAGCATCTTGTAGAGCAGACAATTCTCTTTCGAATGGTATATGACACGATGTAAAAGCATGGGGATTAGATGAAAATTTTTTGGTTGAAAAAAGCGACACTATTATGAGACAACCTAATAATATTTCATTGTTGCTACTTTAAAAACTTCTGCTTCGCACTTGTGCGATCGTGTGTCAGATGAAGAGGGTTCAACAACGCTATTGACGCCATCAATAATCGAGCGGTAGAAGGAAGTAAGAGGGCCGGAGAGAGAGGTGTCCTATGTACTAATAAGGAATTTGAGGGAGGCGTTGCATTTGCTCAAAATTCCTTGGCGTATGACTCATCATGGTGTTAAATGGTACGGCGACTGAAGGCAAACCCCGCAATTAGCTCGACTAGGAGATGGATGCCGGGAGGGGAAATTGTGGGGCCCGTACCTGCATAGATCATGCCACCTTTCTTGCGATTAAGGGCTAATCATTATAGTCCCGCAACCGTCGGCCCGTTGCAGCGCTCACACCCACCGCGATTGATATAGGGAACGGCACGCCCTCTCGAACGGCACGCTTCCATCGCTTGCTTGCCTCTTCGAAAGCCTGCTTCACCATTCGTACACTTTCGACCTTACTGAAGGTCAAGGTCTCAATTTATGCGCTCTCCATGAGTTATCTTGCCTTCTTTTCCAGACCACTTCGCAGACCAGTTGTCACTGTGATAACTCTTATACACCTGCTTTATCTAAAGGTTCACCTTAGAGAGAAAACTAGAGTATGTCATCAGGAACCGAGCATTTTGTCAGCGATTCTGCCATTGCTGACGGTGCCGAGTTTACGACTCTGTAACTTGATAGAGGTTATCCCGACCAGGAACACGACCAAGTAAGACGATAAAGGAAGGTTTGAGGGCAAAGTTGAAACTTAGGTTAAAGGCAGGTAGTGCACCACAAAACGGTGGTGTGGGATCGCTCATCTAGCTGCCTTGTTCTTGGGAGAGCTTAGGAACTATACACGAGTAAATGCATTGGATCATTTTGCAGAGCCTCATCTGTGGTGAACCAAACCACAGCACATGTCGTCCACATTCCAAATATGGTACTGTGAAGAGAATCCAAATAAGTGAAAGGTTGTGGAACGGCAAGTTGTCTTTATTACTGCTCTCACATCGTACTGCGATGCCACACAATAAAAAGACACAGACGGCCCCTATTTTTGAATTCGCACACTTAAGCGCTCCAACAAACACGATTCTCCTGGAAATGCATGCATTAAGTTGTCACTTGACCAGCATTAGCATTAGCATTACTTTTAGCAGCAACGATTGCAGACAATTCGCCACCTATGCGTTCCGAGAGTGCATTCTTCTGACCCTATCGTTATACTGATAAGCGTTGTAGGGTGATCTTTCTCCGACTATTTCGTAGCTGTAATATACAAGGCAGCGGAATCTTTGGAGTTTGTATGGTTGCAAAAGAACACCAGCAGTTCGTAATGTCCCGAGATGGCATCGGATGATGTCGGAAAAAAAACTGGGTAAACTTTGGAGAAGCAGAAGTTGGACTTTGATATTCGTCGTATACAGCTTGTGCACAAAAACTTCTTGTGCATTTGTTGGGAACACTTAATTGAATGAGGCATTTACAGAAGCTGGAACCTTAGGGAGGGAAAGGAAACTGAAGGACAGAGCAATTTCTGTCTCCCTGACGATTTTCACTGCTGCGCTTGATCCTAGTGTGTCAACTACCAGCGAGTTGGAACATCATGTTTGAAATGTCCCCAACCCTCCCCCCCTAACGGGGAGCGCTAGCTTTCAAAACGTTACACTCAAGTTCTATGCAATTCCATGGATTTGTCATGTAAAATTCGTTTTGAAAATTGGTAATTTGAGTTGATGATATGGAATTTGATATTCTGATAAGCCCTGAATTGCCGTAAATGTGTGGGCGTAAGTAGCAACCTTCAGTCCTACTCTGGACGTTTCGCAGATGGAGAGATCGCGAAAAATGCGCTAAGGGATTCCGTAACTTCATTCTGTAACCGCTCCTGTTGTTTCCTGGTTGAACTGCTCTCTCGGATACGCTCCTGTAACTTCCTTGTTAGACTGCATATGAAGGGTAGTGTATGCCTGGTCGTCCATTACGCTCTCCTGTCTCTTCTATCTTCTCAGCGCCTGGTGTTTTTTCGTCGTAGCATTGTTCACCTCATAAACTGAATTGCCTTTATTGCAGTAGCTGCTTTTTTCCCTTTAATCCTGTGTGATTCCCTTTACACCCTACCTTTATTCGCAAGCACAAGGAAACCAATAACAGTGAAGCTGAAGGAGTTCTCTTTCGTTTAGACATTGCCACGACGAAAAGACACAGCGCACAGAGAAGAGAGTGCCGGCGAGGAAGCATATCAATTGAGAGATCGCAGATATCTCCCGTGTCGGGGCGTGGCATACATATGCAATAACCGGAACAGGGTGAATAATAATACAATACTATGTAGCTGCCTCACCGCATTTTTTTAGCTGCGATACTTGTATTATCTCTGCAAATGCATTCTCAACTTCCCTTTCACTGAATGACTGTGGCAACAACCTGATCACTTTGAGTTCCCGGTCGCATAAGAAAATTTGGTCACATCCACTGCAACTCTGTATAAGCTATTAAAGACTCGACTAGAATCTAGTTCTCAACATACAAGCATGTTTAAACTAGCTGTGCATACAGAAGTGAATTAATATAGCAATGCTCTGAAGCGGATATACCAAACGCTTCTAGTGAAAAAAAGGATACAATTACTCAGAGAACAGTATCAGGACGAGTTTCGATCCATTTCTTCAGTGCAGGAATCGAGCGGATCTTTTCTGCATGGGCTTTTACCTGCAATGCTTAACTACGAATCACGTCTCGAAAATGTGTCTTCACCTCCATTTTCTTCTGTAGCCAAAGGCTGGCAATTTGAAAATGATAAAAATCACCTCAGGGAAGCCGTCGTAAAGAGTTGGGAACTTTTTCGTCCATGTGGCCATTTCAGCCACAAGCAGATCAACCCAGGTCAGCGAGTCTCCAACAAGGTAGCCTGAATGTTCCTCAATCAGAAAACTTGCTTGTCCGGGTATTCTCATGTATGGCTTATCTATGCACGCCCTTTCGGATATGTGTCATTTGTTTCATAGCGGACCAGATTGGTCCTAAGCTTGGCGTTCCTCCACCTCACCTTGTCCTCCCTTCCTCCTCCCACCGCTCTCCAGCTGTCACTGCTGCACCGTGGAATGACCGAAAATGTGCTAAGTAGGTGTTTATATAGCCGTTGGTGTGTTGTCACAAGTATGCCATTGTAAAAGATTGATAGCGCGACTCTTGCGAGCTACCCATAATTGTTAGCGGCTTGTTTATTCCGTTAGCTGTGCCTTATCACTTGCTTCATTTTGCAAACGGACGGCCAGACATACTACATACACACATCCTGACATACTCTCCCCCTCAAAAAGCCAGGAAGTGTGTGCAGAACATACACCACAAGTGACGACGGCCTCCAAGTAAATCTGGTTAGTAGTGGTTCATAGTGATAGCTGATTTTTAGTAAATGATAGTTCTAATTAGTGTCAACTGATCGAATACAACTGTAACAGGTTCATCATTCATTATCGAAATATATTTCATTATCATTCGCATTTCCTGAAGGCCGTCGTCAGTTGTGGTGTTTGGTCTGCACCCGACACTTCTTCTTTTCACTTTCCCCTTCACACTGAAGGGGAGGGTACAAACCGACACACCAAGTTAGCGGTTCATAAAATAAGAAGGATCCTCGCCATTCATTTTAATATTCTACTACGTTGCGTTTCACTCCGAAACCTCTCAAGAGAATCCTCAGCCATCAGTTATTTAGTCAGAATCGAAGCTTTTAATGAAATTCGTTCGGAAATTAGCTCTACCCAGATAACTCGTCAACCACTTGCCACCATACGGCCGATGTCATAGTTTGCGAATCATCTCTCTCTTTTCCGCCTCCTTCCCCCCTCCACCCCCCCCCCCCCCCCACTTGTTGTGTGAGAGAGATGATTCGCAAACTATGACATCGGCCGTATGGTGGCAAGTGGTTGACGAGTTATCTGGGTAGAGCTAATTTCCGAACGAATTTCATTAAAAGCTTCGATTCTGACTAAATAACTGATGGCTGAGGATTCTCTTGAGAGGTTTCGGAGTGAAACGCAACGTAGTAGAATATTAAAATGAATGGCGAGGATCCTTCTTATTTTATGAACCGCTAACTTGGTGTGTCGGTTTGTACCCTCCCCTTCAGTGTGAAGGGGAAAGTGAAAAGAAGAAGTGTCGGGTGCAGACCAAACACCACAACTGACGACGGCCTTCAGGAAATGCGAATGATAATGAAATATATTTCGATAATGAATGATGAACCTGTTACAGTTTTGTTCGATAAGTTGATACTAATTAGAACTGTCATTTACTAAAAATCAGCTATCACTATGAACCACTACTAACCAGATTTACTTGGAGGCCGTCGTCACTTGTGGTGTATGGTCTGCACACACTTCCTGGCTTTTTGAGGGGGAGAGTATGTCAGGATGTGTGTATGTAGTATGTCTGGCCGTCCGTTTGCAAAATGAAGCAAGTGATAAGGCACAGCTAACGGAATAAACAAGCCGCTAACAATTATGGGTAGCTCGCAAGAGTCGCGCTATCAATCTTTTACAATGGCATACTTGTGACAACACACCAACGGCTATATAAACACCTACTTAGCACATTTTCGGTCATTCCACGGTGCAGCAGTGACAGCTGGAGAGCGGTGGAGGAGGAAGGGAGGACAAGGTGAGGTGGAGGAACGCCAAGCTTAGGACCAATCTGGTCCGCTATAAACAAAATGCACAACATATCGAAATGCGGCATAGATAAGCCATAATGAGAATACCGACAAAGCAAGGTTTCTATGATGAAACAGCAGCCTACCTTGTTGGAGACTCGCTGACCTGGGTTGATCTGCTTGTGGCTGAAATGGCCACATGGACGAAAAAGTTCCCAACTCTTTACGACGGCTTCCCTGAGGTGATTTTTATCATTTTCAAATTGCCAGCCTTTGGCTACAGAAGAAAATGGAGGTGAAGACACATTTTCGAGACGTGATTCGTAGTTAAGCATTGCAGGTAAAAGCCCATGCAGAAAAGATCCGCTCGATTCCTGCACTGAAGAAATGGATCGAAACTCGTCCTGATACTGTTCTCTGAGTAATTGTATCCTTTTTTTCACTAGAAGCGTTTGGTATATCCGCTTCAGAGCATTGCTATATTAATTCACTTCTGTATGCACAGCTAGTTTAAACATGCTTGTATGTTGAGAACTAGATTCTAGTCGAGTCTTTAATAGCTTTATACAGAGTTGCAGTGGATGTGACCAAAATTTTCTTATGCGACCGGGAACTCAAAGTGATCAGGTTGTTGCCACAGTCATTCAGTGAAAGGGAAGTTGAGAATGCATTTGCAGAGATAATACAAGTATCGCAGCTAAAAAAATGCGGTGAGGCAGCTACATAGTATTGTATTATTATTCACCCTGTTCCGGTTATTGCATATGTATGCCACGCCCCGACACGGGAGATATCTGCGATCTCTCAATTGATATGCTTCCTCGCCGGCACTCTCTTCTCTGTGCGCTGTGTCTTTTCGTCGTGGCAATGTCTAAACGAAAGAGAACTCCTTCAGCTTCACTGTTATTGGTTTCCTTGTGCTTGCGAATAAAGGTAGGGTGTAAAGGGAATCACACAGGATTAAAGGGAAAAAAGCAGCTACTGCAATAAAGGCAATTCAGTTTATGAGGTGAACAATGCTACGACGAAAAAAATCACCAGGCGAGAGATAGAAGAGACAGGAGAGCGTAATGGACGACCAGGCATACACTACCCTTCATATGCAGTCTAACAAGGAAGTTACAGGAGCGTATCCGAGAGAGCAGTTCAACCAGGAAACAACAGGAGCGGTTACAGAATGAAGTTACGGAATCCCTTAGCGCATTTTTCGCGATCTCTCCATCTGCGAAACGTCCAGAGTAGGACTGAAGGTTGCTACTTACGCCCACACATTTACGGCAATTCAGGGCTTATCAGAATATCAAATTCCATATCATCAACTCAAATTACCAATTTTCAAAACGAATTTTACATGACAAATCCATGGAATTGCATAGAACTTGAGTGTAACGTTTTGAAAGCTAGCGCTCCCCGTTAGGGGGGGAGGGTTGGGGACATTTCAAACATGATGTTCCAACTCGCTGGTAGTTGACACACTAGGATCAAGCGCAGCAGTGAAAATCGTCAGGGAGACAGAAATTGCTCTGTCCTTCAGTTTCCTTTCCCTCCCTAAGGTTCCAGCTTCTGTAAATGCCTCATTCAATTAAGTGTTCCCAACAAATGCACAAGATGTTTTTGTGCACAAGCTGTATACGACGAATATCAAAGTCCAACTTCTGCTTCTCCAAAGTTTACCCAGTTTTTTTTCCGACATCATCCGATGCCATCTCGGGACATTACGAACTGCTGGTGTTCTTTTGCAACCATACAAACTCCAAAGATTCCGCTGCCTTGTATATTACAGCTACGAAATAGTCGGAGAAAGATCACCCTACAACGCTTATCAGTATAACGATAGGGTCAGAAGAATGCACTCTAGGACCATAGGTGGCGAATTGTCTGCAATCGTTGCTGCTAAAAGTAATGCTAATGCTAATGCTGGTCAAGTGACAACTTAATGCATGCATTTCCAGGAGAATCGTGTTTGTTGGAGCGCTTAAGTGTGCGAATTCAAAAATAGGGGCCGTCTGTGTCTTTTTATTGTGTGGCATCGCAGTACGATGTGAGAGCAGTAATAAAGACAACTTGCCGTTCCACAACCTTTTCACTTATTTGGATTCTCTTCACAGTACCATATTTGGAATGTGGACGACATGTGCTGTGGTTTGGTTCACCACAGATGAGGCTCTGCAAAATGATCCAATGCATTTACTCGTGTATAGTTCCTAAGCTCTCCCAAGAACAAGGCAGCTAGATGAGCGATCCCAACCACCACCGTTTTGTGGTGCACTACCTGCCTTTAACCTAAGTTTCAACTTTGCCCTCAAACCTTCCTTTATCGTCTTACTTGGTCGTGTTCCTGGTCGGGATAACCTCTATCAAGTTACAGAGTCGTAAACTCGGCACCGTCAGCAATGGCAGAATCGCTGACAAAATGCTCGGTTCCTGATGACATACTCTAGTTTCTCTCTAATGGGAACCTTTAGATAAAGCAGGTATAGATGCTTCACAGTGACAACTTGTCTGCGAAGGGGCTGGCAAAAAGAAGCAAGAATAACTCATGGAGAGCGCATAAATTGAGACCTTGACCTTCAGTAAGGTCGAAAGTGGTACGATGGTGAAACAGGCCTTTCGAAGAGGCCAAGGCAAGCGAGGAAGCGTGCCGTTCGAGAGGGCGTGCCGTTCTCTATATCAATCGCGGTGGGTGGTGAGCGCTGCAACGGGCCGACGGTTGCGGGACTATAATGATTAGCCCTTAATCGCAAGAAAGGTGGCATGATCTATGCAGGTACGGGCCCCACAATTTCCCCTCCCGGCATCCATCTCCTAGTCGAGCTAATTGCGGGGTTTGCCTTCAGTCGCCGTACCATTTAACACCATGATGAGTCATACGCCAAGGAATTTTGAGCAAATGCAACGCCTCCCTCAAATTCCTTATTAGTACATAGGACACCTCTCTCTCTCCGGCCCTCTTACTTCCTTCTACCGCTCGATTATTGATGGCGTCAATAGCGTTGTTGAACCCTCTTCATCTGACACACCGATCCCGCCACAAAGTGCGAAGCAGAAGTTTTTGAAAGTAGCAACATTATGAAAAGATAGCAATGTTCGCTATTCCCCTATACTATCCCTGTCAGTACTGTCCCAATTCAACGATACCATCTCAGAAATACAACTACCACCTCTGCTTCCCTCCAGGACCTGTTCGAGAACTTCTCGACTATTGCTTAAAGGAGGATTCCACGATAAGAACGAAGGTCAAAGAAGGGGAAATTGCCTATTCGAGAGACAGACGGACCTCTGACGCACAATAGGCAGCCAAAGATTTGTCCTCAGCGATTTTGCATAGCTTACTCATGGCCAGTTGGCGCAGTACGCCCACAGAGATGGCAGAGAGAACGTCAGCGTTGAAAGAGACACGACCAGAACTGAATCAATGCGGAATTCAACCGGCAAGGAAGACACCAAGGGTAGAATAAAGTTTGTATAACGAGTACTTGTGGAGTAGTTTTGGTATGTGTTGAGGGTTTGTTGGTGTTTGGTTTCGTGCATAAAAAGAGGTTTTTGATGTTTGGTTGTTTGATAGATTGCTAAATCGGGGTTGCCATTTCGCGTTTTTTGGGTTGTCTCGTGAGCGTTTCTGCGGATTGCTTTTTCCACTTCCTTATGATCATGAGCTGTTAATTGTTTTGAATATGTGGCCGTGCCTTTCAAGGTGAGAATTTGCTCTCGCTCGCAACTGTTTGTCGCACCTCGACTTCACACGTTGTATATTACAATTGCGTGGCTTTGCAAGTTATGTTTATTTTCACGAGTTAGATCAATACGTGCTGGATTTGAACTTTACATACCTATATGTTTCTTGAGGTATATAACTTAGCTGTCGACAGGTTTGTCTACATGCCGTAACTTAATTCGTTGGTTAATAAGTGGCTTAAGGTGTAGTCGGAATCTCTACGGATGTTGCGCTGTTGGGAACTCGTGTGTTTTGATGAGTGGCTGAGATCACGATGCGTATTGTTTTATGTGGTTACATTTGTGGAACCAGAATTACACTTCCGTTAGTTGCGTTTTTCCATTTAGTTGCCGAAATGGACACTTTCTTATCATTTAAGTAGTCAAGTAAAACTGGGGTTGTTTCGACTTGGCACATAGGTCGTGGCTCTGTTTGTTCTTCAGTCTGGAGGCGTTGTTCTTGCCCATGTTTGGGCTTTGATCGTGCACAGTGTGGGTGTTCTCTCTATGTTCATAATTCGACAACAGGCCAAGGCTACAGCAGTACTCCTCATGAGCTTTTTGGCACCTAAATATACAGAGCGAGTCTCCTGACTCTGTGGTGCCATCTGGATTAATGCTCGTGTTCACTCTAGATTTCCTTAAGCCATAGGCGTGCTGCTAAGCATTTCCGGCCTGTTGACGATTACAAAGAACATATGGTCAAAAATTTTCTCAGCGTTCATGAGTTAGTAGCTGTGTAGACTTAGATCTGAGGCTGAAACAACCATCAATAGAGGAATCAATTGTTTCGACTCTCGCTTATTCAAAAAATCGGCGTCAAACTTACTGTGTTAGAATAATATCGTATATTGGTAAACCATCTTCATAAACAAGATTTCTTCGTTCTGTCTCGTTCATACGGTATGCACAAGTATCGCGAGCCACCCAGTAGTAGTCATTGTCCTAAAAAAAAGTTCAATCTATCAGAAGGGCTCGGCTACGGTCGAGAAATATTAGGGTTGTCTCATAAATGATGTCGCTTTTTTTCTACCGAAAATTCATCTAAACCTGAACACTTTTACATCGTTTTATATATCCATTCGAAAGAGAATTGTCTGCTCTACAAAATGCTGTGTTCCGCTTCCACCTCTATTTCAGGGTTTTCAAATTTTAGGCCTGCGAAATGGGAGGTCCAGCCGACAAAAATTGACCAAACCGACAACTAGCTCTAACTTTATTTTCCCTGGAGAAATCAATCAATGATGTACCCTCTACTTACTCATGACCTCTTCTGAACATTCCACTCTTAGGTTGCCGAAAAAGCTTTGCCGTGTTTCTTTTCGAATTGGCTGACCGATAAGCCATAGCAATTTTCAAATTAAAATTGTTCCTCGTAAACGCCATTGTTTCATATCGAGTGGTGTTCCTTTTGTGAGCACTTCTTCTGCTCTATTCGCTCATTTGTTTTGTTTTTATGTTTGTTGGGAATTAGTTCGAATTTTAGGTGTTTAGGAATAAGGTGTTTTATCCACGAAAGTGACCGCATTTCTTTGAAAAAATTATCCCTGAGAAGATGAGAAAATCAACCAGGCGTACATTCCTAACTTAGTCATGACTTGTTCTTCAAATTCTACTAGTTTTTCAATGTCTCGGCTATAAAAAAATTTCGACCTAGATCTCAGGTAATGGTGCTCGACCGTCGAGTTCTGGTTGAAAAACCAGGTCTGGAAATGGAAACGACGCGACTTGTTGGGAAACCTAATAGTGTAATGTTTAGAAGAGGTCATGCATAAGTAGAGGGTACATCATTGATTGATTCGAGGGAAGAATAAAGTTAGAGCTAGTTTCGGTGTTTGCGTAATTTTTGTGTCGCTGGACTCTCATTTCGCAGGCCCAAAATTTGAAAACCCTGGAAACATAGATGGAAGAGGAACATAGGAATTTTGTAGAGCAGACAATTCTCTTTCGAATGGTATATAATACATGTAAAAGCATGGGGATTCAGATGAAAATTTTTTGGATGAAAAAAGCGACACTATTTATGAGACAACCTAATAGATGTGCTGGCTTCGTCAGATCACAACTAGGTTCTATCCTTGCTCATATATTATATTGCAAAAAATTCAAAGTTCCTCAGCCGTTCTTAACTCCTTCGTCCTTTTTCCTTTTTCTTCTTTCTCTTTTTTCAACCAACTTTGGCTTCGTTTAATCTCTTTGAAAAAGGTCTAGTAGGAAAAGCAGAAGGACGAAGATACTCATTTCTATACATGACGGGTGTGCCATCTCCCTCTTTCATGTTCTGCTGAATTATTGTGTTTATTGATGGTACACGTTGAGTGCATTATAAATAAATAAATAAATAAATAATTAAACCCTTGCAATTTCGCCAAAAATAGACAAGATGAGAATAAAATCCTCAAATAAGAAAATTAATTTACCATGCGATAGTACCGGTCGCCGAGCCAATAACTGCGTCGTGTCTGCTCAACGAATGTTCGGTCGTTGAACATCTTCACGCGCCAGATAGCGAACCCGTCAAGGAGCTGCTGGGTGATGATGCGATAGATTTCCGCATTTGTCACGTTATTTCCATCAGTGGCCGGAGTTCCCGACAACGACCTTAATCATACACACATGGCTACACAAATAGATATGTACATACTGTTAGGACGTTTTTGAAACACATCAGTTACATTTTTTTTACATTGATTTGCCGGAAAGTACAAAGTTGAATCTGCGTGTACGGTACCGTAATTACTGGTACCGTACACGTCTAGACATCGCAGTTCGACAATTTGGGGTACCCGACAGGAGGCGCGTCGAGCGGCAAGGAGGTAGAGCCAGCGGATCTGTCAAAACGAGTACTGTAGTGATTTAGTTTCGAACTAAGTAGGATGCCATTGTAAGTCCAACATGCACAGCTCGCGCTGGCGACTCGTCCGCTAAATTTGCCTTCTCGTCGCGCGACGGGCCTCCTGTCGAGTACCGTATAATTTTGAAGGCGTCCGGAGAGGGGTAAACTTCAGATGATTGTAAAGGAGCAACCGAGGACAGACATTGTACTTAATAAATCAGCAGCTTTGCAAAATGGACTCATAAGCACCACCAATGTTCAAGGCTATAAGTTGTCATTTTGCTAATAGGACATGTGGGGAAAATCTGGCGAAACTTATCTTGGGTAAGTGGAACCGCAAGTGAAAAGAAATGGAAATAACCATAAACTGTCAAATTCAAATGAGGGTCCGACCGAGAGCAGTGATGATATAGTAGAAGGGCGAAATTCGATAACACAGAGAATAGACAACTGCGGGCCCCTTATAAAGTGACCAGAGCCATGAATCGTGAGCCCCTGAAACCCTTGCCACGCACTCGCGGGGACGGCATTTCCTCTACCTGAAAAGCCTTGTAGCCCATGGAGGGGAATCGTGATCCCGGATTTATTGTGAAATATGCCTCCAAACCAGAGATCCAATGAAAAGTTCAAGCAACAATAACGACCGAAAAATTTTAAATGCTTTGCAACAATTCCGTACCTTTCCACTAGCAAAAAAAAAGAATAAAAAGAGAAAAATCCTGTCATATTTTCCCCGAAAGTATTTGATTGATGCTGATGGTGAGGGTATGACTGAGATGGTTTAGTCATCAACTGAGCCAAACTTCGCTTATCGGCATTTGACCATCATGATTCAGAAACATTCAATACGCAAAGACTTGAATGATTATAAATCAACCTGGAAAGTCCTTGAAATTTCGCATGGCCAGGTTTCTGAGAAAGCTTTCAAAGGAAAAATGTGCTCGATATAAAAAATATTGGAAAAACTAAAAAAGCTGAAGCTTCTTTTGATGATTACAGGAGGCGTGTGGGAGACGACTGCTGTATGCATGGCTCCAGTGAACGCAAAATTTCCGAAAAAAAAATGGAAGAAAAGGAAAGGTGATAGTTATGGACGATGGGGGAGGGTCTTATCACCAACAGCTTCACAATTTTTCTAAGCAACGGAGTACAAAGTAAAACCCGGCTAAGCTATTTACCAACAACAAGTAATAATATGAACATAAATAAAAGCCCATACTATTATAGCATACCGTAACCACCTCGAACTCTAATAGGTTGACCTACCTTGTCTGCTGTATACGGTATGCGTTGACAAGAACTTCCAGTAGGAATAGCAATACCGTGAGTCGGGCTGCAGACATCTTCAACAGAAGAATTGATCGAAGCGGTGAACAAACAAATCGATGGCCGCTCACCTGGCTGATGCTGGTCACTCATCGCATCACATTCTCCCGTTGCTAGCCCATTAAGGGCTTCACCAATCTGTCCTGCTGACCACACCATCCGACCGATGTGGCATTAATTGCCGTACAAAATGAGGATTATCTTTTGGCGCAGGCTAATGATCACGGCCTTCATTCGGCTCAGTGGTCTGGCATGTGGCCCCGAACCCGAGCTGTAGGCAAATTTTTACCGGATTGCCAGGCTTAAATGAATACTGGCTCGTGGAAAGTGGCGCTGTTAATAATACAGGGGTGGCCAAAAAAAAAGAGACACTTCAGCCCATGGCGCACATCATCGAACTTTTCGTCGCACAGGGAGCCGATGTTAATGAAAGTTTTATGGCGTTATATTCCTTAGTTGTTCCTCCGTAAACAGAAGCAAGCACTCCTTCACTGCCCCTGCCGTCTCCAGAATATGACGTCATCTGCCGTCACCGTCGAGCTCAACGAGGCTTACCGAAATCGCTCCGACCTGAAGCTGCTACACAATTTCCTCAGTGAATTAATTGTTGAATAGCTTCCCAGAGACATTAGCTGTGAATGTGCAAAACCGCTTTTGACCTGCGTTTCAGAGACGTCGTAATCGTCTATGGTATCTCAACGACCTCGTTGAGATCGTACCGCGCACAATGCTTCCGTGGGAAAATCTTCTGATGTCGTCGGTGTAGAAGGCTGTTGTGTAGCTTGTTGATAGATTATAACGTGCTCTTCAATATTCAGTTGGGGTCATTTGGTTTGGTTTCGCGACGCGTAAATAATTCCGTTTTGAATGTTGAGTGAAGTGTCTCTTTTTTTGGCCACCCCTGTATATGTTGCGTCGGGCGATCAAATAATCATGCACTGTTTATGTGGGCCGAAAGTCAAACATTCAATGCGAACCTGTATGAAATTCGAATGCGAGGCGCATTCCAAAAAAAACTAATGAGGGTGAGTTTCTTTTTTTTGTCCTTTACAAAAATCATCTATGACGGGCACGGCTCGAAAACTTTGAACTAATCGTATGCTTCTTTTTTATAATACATAATACTAGGTCAGTCTTCAGTTTGACACTAATGTTAGTCCTGCGCCATCATTTGGTCTACCGCCCTCGATTTAGTCAGCAACGATTAGCCGCTTTTTCCAGTTCAAGACGTTTCCTTCTCTATTTCAGCTTCAATACTATCCTTCTTCATGTCGTCTTCCTACTTATTCTCTGAGGCTTTCCAAACAAGGTCCAGTTCTTTTCTTATGGAGGGATCGTGTAGCCTTCTTAGCATGTGTTCCAACAATCGCAATCACACACCTTCAACAGGATGGGGGCAGACTGCATGACCTTCTTGATTTCATTTTCTCGTCTTGTCTCAACCGCAAGGCGGCCGTGGTTCCAAATTCAGACAGAGTGAAGCCACCTCCTGCCTATGGACAAGCGCCAGCGCCAAAGAGCACTCTTGAGACCTTACTATAGGCCACCTGGCCTTGTACATTCTAGAACATCGTCGACGGCAGGATTTCAATAGATTCTCTCTAGTTTATTCCTGGTTTCTTTTAGTCTATGCCTGACACCTGCAACCTGAATGGCTTTTATAGCAATTCACCTTCGACTGTATACACTCCATAGAGCTTAACGGAGGGATTCACGATAAGAACGAAGGTCGAAGAAGGGGAAATTGCATAGTTGGGAGACAGGCGGACCTCCTGAGGGTGCTGACCGACGCGCAATTGGCAGCGAAAGATTTGACCTCGGCGATCTAGCATGGCTCACTCTTGGCGCGGTTGGCGGGGTACGCCCACCGACTATCTAATCACTCGCCGCAGGTCTATACGTGGCGAGTGATTAGATAGCAGAGAGAGCGTAGTGTTGAAGAGGGCACAGCGATGAGAGTCGCATCAATGCGCAAATCAACGGGCAAGGAAGGGGTCCCATTTCTCGGGTTTCGGGCCGTTTCAAATGGTTTCTTCTTCATCCCTGCTCCACTGACCACCTCTACCTTATTTCCAATGAGCTACTTTTCATCGTAAATTCTGCCTTTGAAAATTTGGTCCTCTTCACGTCTCGAAGCTCAAACTCTGTCAGCATTTCCTACCCATTGTACCTTCTCCAAATATGTATTCTTCACTGCTGTCATGAATCAGGGTATGATGTCATTAGCGTGGACGGTGGCTTTCAGCTACCCACCCGCACTTACTGCATTATAAAATCAGAAAATCTATGATACACTCAGACCCTGAATCAGGAGGGTGAAGCGAGGCGTCGAGGAAAACTCCGAGATACAAGCCCCCCTTCCATGAAGAAATGGGGTTGATTTTGCAATGCATGCTTTGGTTTTGATGCAGCTTGTTCACTAGGGAAACAGCTTTAACACTGAACGCATATTCATATATTTCCCTTCTAATAAGTAACATAGTGATAAGATTTCTAATCACCGTAGAAGTGTACTGCAGGATTTCAACTTTCCAAATGATTATACTTCTATGAAGTTACGCTGAAAATTACACATTTCTTGATCAGTAGACGTTCATTCCTAACAGTTCGTTCCGGGAAACTTTTGATGTCTTTCAAACTCACATCACCATTGCAGGGAACGGGTATAGAATCGTACGACATTGGTTGAATTCGCTTAGGGACGTGCCGTGCGCAGGTCATCCAGCGCGAGTAGCGGTACCTATCCACTCCCGAACAGGCTACCGCTGCCTTGATCATTGTTATCCATCTTTAACGATCCCCTACCCCACTGATCCTAATACGACCTGTTAAAGATTCCTCAACGCACGCTTGTCCCTAGCCCTGATACCTCTTTTATTCCGGTAGGGATACGTAAGACAGGAGTCATCTCTGCTCCGTCATCATCACTCATCTGTGCACGTCCACGAATCACTTCAAGTTTTCTGAACGGTTTCGTCCCGAGCGTTGCTTCCGTTCAGTAGCATTGATCGAGGTGCACGGCATCATATTCTCGGAAGGAAGGCTAGGTGGTAGGTCATTGTTTTCTCAATAATTTCATCTCAGTTTTGACTTGACTGTCGACTCGCTATCTTTAGCCTCATTCCACAGTAACTCATCACACGGTTACAGCTCTTCATTATTCCTTCTATTTCAGGATGGACGACCTCCGATGTCAAAATAACGCACATTCTGTTACCAGTTGGGAATTCAGCATCATCAGAAAACGCATTCGAATGACACTACGATTTCAAATGAGAGTAGAAGGCACGGCGCGTCTTTAGAAGAATTCGTCAGCGATTTAAGCCTTTCCCTTTTATAGCGCTGACACTGAGGTGTACTCTTGTGATGCTAACAACAGAAGAAAATGATACAATTATGTAGGCATTACGTTTAGAAGAAATAGTATGAAGATAGAGGATACTAGAGATAAAACAATTTATTGCGCAGAAATTACGTCCGAACAGTTACCACCGGAAAAACCAGACCCTCCGGATAAAGGAAAACAGTCACAGGCGGGTTCAGAAATATGAGGGATATGTTAAAATTGAGATCTGGATCACTTCTCAGAACTTTGTGTCAGGACGAACACTGAGATATTTCTTCAGTTCTGGTATTGAACGGATTTTCTCGGCGTGAGCTTTTACCTAAATTAGACGGAAATTATGTTGTCTGTGATCAACACTGTCGTACACCGAAAGAAACTCCTTGTCAAGTTTGTAGAAAAAGCTAACCGCTGGGAATCCGTCATAGTAGCCTGGGAAATCGTTCGCCATCGTGGCCATGTCGGCAAGGTACAGATCAACCCAGGTCAACGAATCTCCGACGAGGTATCCTGAATTATTACGTGTAAAATAAGTCACAAATGATAAGTAGGCACATCTCTGATTGGAGCAAAAACTCATAACTTATTCTGCAACTCCGACTCACCAGTTTTGTTGTTTTTCAGAATTTTCTCCATGAATGTGAAGAACTTCTCGCGGGCTGGCAATAAACACGTCTTTCTTCAGGGCCTCCTATAAAATTTTAAACCATGCTGATTTTTCGATAAGATTGCAATGTTCCATAACGAGCAGCTTCGAAATAGGAGAAGGAAATTCTGGTGGTGAAATTATTAAATTGTTTTTGCACCAAAAACTTCGAACAGGAATTGAAAATTGAAGAAAATGGTAACTACGTTGAGTG